TGCTGGTCATCCATTCATCCCAACCTTCTTGTATTTGCCAACCCATTGCAACCAACACGAACCTCGAATGCGGTCATATGTCATCCCCTGTTTCGCTGATTGATTGCTACCGCCGACTCGGTTAACCTTTTGCCTGTCCGTCTTTTTCCTTCGTCCTCTGCTCAACACCACTGTTCATTTGTCTGGTCTATCTACCCCATATTCTCCCCATCACATCATCTTCCTTGTCAGTACTTCGCGCGCTCCGCAATCCGCAATCGCCTTGGTCAACGCTATCGGGGGTGGGTCCGTTAGTTCTTCAGTGTCATGGCAAGCTAACCTCGTTGCGTATCCGCTATCCAGAACTTCCCCAGCCCAAACTACAAGGTCTTGTCGAGAACGTCCAGCCCGTGCTGCCGGATCTGTCTGAACTCGCTGCGAAACCTCCACAACGACCCGTCACACCACCAAAAGCCCCCACCCCGTCTCCTCCCAAGCAACAGCAGCAACAACACCAGCCGCGCACGCTGAGGAAGGTTTCAATGGAGTACCCCGAGGATCCGTGGAACGCGCCCGATCTGCACAAAGGCCACAACCATGGCCCATTAGAACACTCGACGGGTCATAACGGCGCCGCCGACGTCCCTCGCTCGATCGGCCCTGACTTGAACGGCAACGGCGCTGTTTCGTACAGTACGAGTCCCGAAGTGACGACGACCAGCGCCGCGCTGCCCGGCCGGACTACTTCCACATTCACCACCAGCCAACCACCCTCGGGTCCCAGCTCGATCCACAACGTCGCCGAATCGATTCAGGAAAGCAATGGCGCCTGGAACTACTTTCCCGGTAACTCCTCGGTAGGAGGGTTCAGCGAACCAGCAGACAATGCTATCACAAGTCCGTTTGGTGGTAATGGGGGACCTGGCCAGTCTGTTGGAGGTCCAGTCGGCGGTTCCAACCCCAACCGAAGCATTGGACATGTCAGGTCGGGAAGCAATGTGGAGGAGAATATTCTGGTGACGCTGATGCCGGAGAAGGAGGGCATGTTCATGTTCCAGCACCACAACTACGAGGTCTCGAGTATAAGGCGTGGCAGTAAGGTCGTCCGACGATACAGCGACTTTGTGTGGTTGTTGGATTGCTTGCACAAGCGGTATCCGTTTAGGGTGCTGCCTCTGTTGCCGCCCAAGAGGGTTGCTCGTAAGTTGGATATCCTTCCGGGGAAGATGGGCTACGCTAACAGAGACAGTCAATGGCAACCATTTGTCCAACGATGGAGCCTTTATCGAGAAGCGCCGCCGCGGTCTGGCTAGGTTCCTCAACGCTCTCGTGCGTCACCCGGTTTTGGGCCAGGAGCAGTTGGTGATTATGTTCTTGACGGTGCCTACGGTATGTCTACCTCGAACCTTTGGTCTCTACGCATATGCTGACATACTACAGGAACTGTCTGTCTGGCGCAAGCAAGCTACGATCTCTGTTCAGGATGAGTTCACCGGCCGCACACTACCACCCGGTCTCGAGGACTCGCTTCCCCCAACTCTAGAGGAGCTCTTCGCGCGCGCCCGAGCAGGCGTCCGCCGCAGTGCTGAGCTTTACATCAGCACCTGCACCATCATGGACCGTCTCGTCAAGCGCTCAGAAGGCGTAGCAGCCGACCACGCCCGGATGGCTCTCTCCCTGATCTCGCTCACCGAGGCCAGCGCCGACACCTACGCCACTGACAACAATGACGTGCCACTTCTCAACGACGGGCTACAAGCCATGGGCCGACACTTGCGTACTGCACAGACCTTGATGGAGGATGAAGCCAAGGCGTGGGAGGAGGGTGTGCTGGAGGACTTGAAGAGGCAGCGAGATGCGCTAGTTAGCCTACGTGATTTGTTCGACAGGAGAGAGCGTCTCGACAAGGACAACATTCCCTTCCTGCAACGGCGCATTGAGACGAATGAAGCGAAGCTACAGGCGCTTAACGCGAAGCCAGAAGGGATGGTTAAGCCGGGTGAGAAGGAGAGGGTTGTTGAGGCGATCATCAAGGTATGTCCCTCTTTTTTTCATTATGCAATGACATCGGTCTGCTGACACCTAAAACAGGACAAGGAATCCATTGTCACCCAACACAACCGCTCAGTATTCGTCAAGGAATGCATAAGAGACGAGCTACGATTCTTCCAGGGCACGCAGTATAACGTGTCGAGACTGACCCAGGATTGGGCGCAGGAGCGGGTCAAGTACTCAGAGATGTTGGCAGATAACTGGCGAAGGCTGCTGGACGACTTGGAAGGCATGCCGCTTGGGGATTAGGTGAACTCTGAGGGGCGTGGGCTTGGTCGGACCATCCGGGGTGGCGGTGGCTGCACTGTAGGTGGTCCAAGAAGAGGCGGCGACATGGGAAGGCGCAATACGATGAAAGCCCACAGGTCGAGCTATCGGCAATGGAGCTTCTACAGGCCTACAGGGAGCGAGAACAACAGAAGCGGCACCGTCAACGACAGAGGTGCCAGTGCAACAGGGAGGATTGTTTCTGCTGGTGGGGTGGTCCACTGGGCTTGACGGATATTGATGAGATTGATGACGAATTATGGACAAGGAAAAGAAGGTTACAGTTTCATGATGGGGGTTGGAAGGTTTGGGGATACCAGCTACCAGGCATGTGCAAAGATTGAGGGGGTACGGTATGATCGGATGACCTTTGGTTTGGGGTTCTTCATGTATGACTTGTCATGTTACTCATGTTTATGGCGTTCGCATATGATTGCTTTGTGTCAAGTTGAGTTGTATGTGTGTGGTCTGTAGGGGCTTTCTGTAGGAAGTTGACGGTACTGGACAGCACAAGAGATGATGTTTCCCCGAAAATGCCTGCCTTGAAAGAGATTCTTCACCTTCATTTCATAAAGTTGTTGACTTAATGCTCATGCTTCTTGGATTGTTTACAAGTACTTGGAACTCAGCAAGACCGTTGTGTAAGTGACGATCTCCACGTGTAAATACCGACCTCCGGCCTCCGGTAGGGCAGGTGGACCGTGAAAGAAGTCCGGGCATCCCAATCCAGTGGTCCATGCCAAGACCCGGGGACACCACTGCCGCGGCGGCAGACACGAGCGGACGGGTACCCGTAAGGTACGTAGCGGGAAGGTGTGCACCGCACTGCATCCATGTTGTGGTCGCAGCGACTTCCCCCGCCATGACGTTTTTTTCTCAGCCTCGCCCTAGCGGGACTCACAGCGCTGAATGGTCGTGGTTGCAGTGGGCTTTCCTTGGTTCCTCCGCCGCGGCCCCCTCCGTCCCGCTTCGCTGGTTAGTAGTGCCCGCCTAGAGGTAGACTCTCTCCCCTCCGCCTTCCGATCTTTCGACGAGACGCGAGAAGGGACGAAAGCCTGAAAAAAACAAACCGAAATCCACGGCCACAGCACCTTCACAACTGCTACTTCGAGTCCAACCCAACCTCGGTCCATATCTGCGCGCAGTTATAAACACGACCCGTCCAACAGCGCTTCGAGCTCCGTCCGTCTGCCACATCACCAACCAACAGCCGATCCCGCCTATCGGCCTCTGCCCCGCGACGACTTTGGGCTCACAAACCGACCGAGATCAACTCGTGTCCGAACAAGCAACAAGCTCTCTCATCTTTTCTGTCAGGCAACCACAAGTCGATATAACGCCCTACCCCGGCGTTTCCGCATAACCTCCCATCCTTCGACTGCGCCTGTTTCCCCGGTCCTCTCCACCCAGCACTCGAAAAACGAAGGACGAAAGCCCAACAACACACACAAGGTTGAAAGACAAGCACAATGAGTAGCTCTAGGTTGCCCTCAACGGCCACCCAGAGGCAGAGGGTGGCTCAGTTTGTTGCCGTTACCAACGCGACCAAGGAGAATGCGCAACGGGTGAGTTTATACAACCCTTTAACAATGTCACAGGAAGGGATGGTTGCTTGTCGCAAAGAAGGGACCTCGGAGACTGTTGTCCCGTCTGTCTATCGGTCCGACTGGGCTTGTTGCCTACATACCTTGCGCTATGCAGCAACGTCTCGTTCGCTTCACAGTTCTACCTAACCCTCGAGCCCTTCACGTTGTGCGAGTGAACAAGAGTGCAAGAAGCTAATATTTGGACTCGATTTACAGTATCTCCGAAATGCAAACTACAGTGTCGAACTTGCTGCGAATATGTAGGTCCCTTCTTCCGTCCTCGTCCCTTCTTGCAACTACCGACTATACCCCCATGTGCATTCGCAATGTCGCACGGCGCACAGCACGCAATGTGTGTATCCCCTCGAAATTATACCTTGGGGCATGAGAGAGGTTTCGTTTCGGGGCCGGGTCGAAGCCCGCCAAGGCGGTCGTTCGGATCGGGACTCCCTAAGCTGTTTACCACCAATGAGTTCTACAAGGGATCGGCATCCCGACACAATGTCTTACTATGTCAACCGTCAGCATCTGTCTGCAACCCCCGGGTCCTTATTTTCTGTTTTGTCCAAAAACATCATCAGACGGGAGATGAGAGAGGCGCCGCGAATGCAACCACGCAACTACACGCATTTCGATGCACACCGTGGTCTCCAGTGGAGCCCCCCAGGTCAACCTTGATGTACCCCTTTCCCATCAAAGGCATTTTTTACCACTTGCACACCAAGAAGTTCAGAACCAAATAACATGTTCTCGAAACTGTTTGGTTCTTGTTTCCAAAAGAGGAATGGGCGCAAACCCGCAAAGTCGGCTACTCCAAGCGAAGATGCGACTGAGATTGAGGGGAGCCACTCGCGGTCACAATCTCACTCCCGATATCCCCGAACACCGGACAAGGAGGCTGGGTCTCTCCAGTTGGAGCATCTTACGTCCACAAAACCTGTCATAACGACTAGAAATGAGGAATTGGGCCCGCGCAAAGGTCCCACGGGGATATCAAACTCAGCCTTGAGAAATGCGCCAGAATTAGAGTCCGTGTTGGCTTAAGATGCCTTGCTTATTTTTACAAAGTTCATCAGGTTGAAAACCGAAGACTAACCCTACTTCGACTACAGGTACATGAACGACCGGGAAAGGAAACGAGGCCCAGATGATGCGTTGAATCAGTTGTTTGACCGTCTGATCGGCGGTATGTCTCTTTGCCCTCTACCCTCCATTCCCCTCGTACTAACCTCCATATAGACGAGGACCGAGCAGCAGCAGGAGCCGGCAAAACTGTCGACGCCATTGACGCCGAATCCGCCCAAGCCTACATCTCTTCCATGGGCGCCAACATCGAAAACGTCGAAGCTTTCGTGGTCCTCGAGATCGTCCGCGCCGACTCCATCGGCCAAATCTCGCGCCAAGGTTTCGTCGACGGCTGGTCCTCCATCTACCTCGACCACCGCATTCCCGCCGACCCGGCCCACCACAGGAACTACGTCCAGATGTGCATCCAAAACCTGCCCCAAAATCCGGCTTACTTCAAAAAGGTCTACCAGTTCGCTTTTGGCTTGGGTAAGGAACCTGCCCAAAAGGCGCTGGAGAAGGACGTTGCTTTGGTATTCTGGGATTTGTTCTTGGGTACCGAGTCGTCAGACACACCAGGACCGCGGCCGTGGAAGAGCAAGAACGTGGATTGGCTGGGTGCGTGGAAGCGGTTCCTGGCGGAGAAGTGGACGAGGAGCGTCAACAAGGATATGTGGAACCAGATGCTGGCGTTTGCGGAGAAGACGATGGTGGATGAGACGCTCGGGTTCTGGAACGAGGATCAGGCGTGGCCGGGCGTTATTGATGATTTTGTGCTTTGGTGTAGGGAGGAGGGGATTGCGAAGGCCCCTACCCCCGGGACAGGAGGAGGGGAGGGGATGGATGTTGAGGATTATTAGAGAGTTGTTCGTGAGCATCTGTGGGAGGGGTGGGAGGGGGAATTCAAGTGGGTGGATGTGATCATGCGGGGGAAGCCTATGAGGATGCTGGTGAGGACTCTTCCGCCTTGTTGCAGGGAGGATGAGAGGGGTTAAGAGGAGAAGAAGCACTGAGGGTCATGATATTCCCAGCGGATGGTGGCAAGACTTTCGTGACTATCATGGCAGGCTGGCCCGGGCTTATCATCTCTGATGAGGTTTCTACCATTCCGGTAAAGCGGCGCATTCGAAAGGGCGGGGGGTCAAAGAAGGAAGGTTGTTGGTTCACAAAGAGCAAAGAATACATTTACACAGCGCATTCCCAGATACACAATACCGATAAGAGTATACACTTACAAGCACATGGGGACCATTCAGAGGTGATTGAGCGGACAGAATGAGTGTTTTGGGACAATTGTGTTTTCCCTCGCTTTATAGGTTACAGTTTCAGCCTTTTTAGAGATTCTAGAACTGCTTCTTGGGACGATAAATACACCTAAAGGATATTTCTACAATCACCGTCGTTAGTGAGAGGTGAAGTTGAAGAGTCAAGTAAACAACATCCCTCCCTCCATGAAAGTACATACCCCAATCCGGTAGGCGGTAAACGCGGCAGAATGGAATCCCATCTTCAAATTCCCCACAAAAATTTCCAGCGGCGGCACACCCGCAACCCGCTGCGGCACTGCGGCACTGACGGCAACACCTGCTGCCCACTGAGCCCGGTCACAACAGCAGCCACAGCGGTACCTTTTGACTTCCACTGGACGTAACGGGTCAGGTGTGTGGGGCTCCGAACTTCTTATCGACGTAGAGTTCCAACCTACTATACGCGCTTTCGATCGCATCGCGAACAACATCCTTGGTCTTTGTTTCTTCCCCGAGCCGACCGCCCAACCCCCCAGACAAGATGTTGTATGAGACTATTGGTATTGTGAGTTTGCCCATTGGGAAGGCAGTTGGGAACGGGAAGATGAATGGAAGAGGGAATGGAAAGGGAATGGGAGAAGATAGAGAGACAGACGTGCTAATGATTGAACTTCTACACAGGTCCGCCCGGGCAACATCGCCGAGGTGAAGGAGTACGTTTACCCTCCTATCTAATCCTTCTTCCCACCGGACGTCCGACCTCAAGCTCCTTTTCCCTACGACCGACTTCGCTTCCACCATCCATCTCCCATGTTGCAACCACCGCAAGCACCCTCGACCGCGGCCTCCTCGCACTCTCAACAACCTCCCACGAACTCCCTCCCGAGTTTTAATACTGACCCGAATACCGCGAAAAAAACAGACTCGTCCTAACAGCCGGCAAACTCATCCTCAACCAAGGCGGCGTGATCCGCGACATCAAGAACTGGGGCACCTTCCTGCTGCCTCGTCCCATCTCCACCAACCAGCAGCGCCACACGCGCGGCCACTACTTCGTGATGCGGTACGACGCCAGCATCGCGACGCACGAGGAGGTGCGACGCACCATGAAGGCCGATCCGCGCGTTATTCGCACGGCGAACGTTAAGCTCGGTGATGGCAAGCTGGAGACTTTGTCTAGGTTTGGGGGGATTCCTTGGAGGAGTTTGGAGGAGGCTTAAGCTTTTCTTTTCGTTTTCGTTTTGAGGGCGGAGTAGCTTGGGTTTGGGCTTGGGAGGGTAGAGAAGGGAAAAGGCCGCGGAACGGGCGACCAAGACTCTTTGGTGAATACGGACGGCATGGCATTGTCAAACTCCGCTCGGCTCGGCTCGACGACGAAGGATACGGTTCAGGACCCCCCCAAGCATTCTCGAGAAGCACTACATACACCCTGGCTGAAAAGAGGAGGATGCCCGCTATCGTCGACGATTGGAGAGATTTCTTTGCTCAGGATCAGCGAAAAAAGAGAAAGTTCTGTACGCTCGGTCAGGCTGTCGAAGTCTCCCCCCGCCAACGAAGCGACAGCCAGCCATGGTAGTGTCATGTCCAAACAAGCTCGGAGGTGGAACGCGGGTGCCCGTTATTCCTCTGTCCTAGCAATGTACGATACGCATATGAATGATATGTAAAGAGGAATACGATACTATACAGACAAAATAAAAGCCTTCCTTTCTGCTACATCTTTCGCTCAGCGATAATTTCTTCGGTCTAGTTGAAGAAGAAAGAGGCTTAGGAAAGAGAGTCAGTCTACAGGCATGGCCGTCTTTGGGTGCGTAGAACCAGAGTACCCTGGAGGTTCTTAATATAATCTTCATCCTAATGTATGTCGAACCTTGATTGAAATGCTCACAATCCCCTTCCAACGACGTACCTTCCAGGCGTAGATGATTGATCCCTCAAAGTTCTTTTTGCTAGATATGGATCAGTCCCCCCAACACTAGCCAAAAATGGGCATATATGACATGGTCATCATACGCCAGGATCACGATTCAACAGCGAGCACAAGATACCTCATCTATTACTTCCGCTACTCTTAATTACCACCACTCTCTCTCCACGGTCCTCGCTCCACAAACTTTTAAACCAGTCTTCCACCATACCAACGCCTGGACAAGCAAGCAGTAAACCACCCCCTTGACGCTGTATATATCCTACTGCCCGGCGTTGAGGCCAAGGCAAATGCAAGGAAGAGGAACCAATCAAACATCAACACACTCCCAAACTCCAGATCAACGCCTGCAGAAAAAGCCAGGAAGTCAGGAAATGCAAAACCACGATCGATGCCACACAAAACAAGAGTGCCGTGAAGCAGAACATCTCAACAAAAGGGGAAAAAAAAAAAAAAACCAAAGCCTCCGCCATCTTCGTGCCATGAACTTCTGACACTCTTCTATTCCGACTCTTTCTCGCCAATCGCCACCAAAATCTCATGTTCATCTCCTAATGCCTCCGGGCAGTTCTCGTACTCCCAGTTCGAGCAGGCCACATGATCTAGATGCGTAAAGCCAAACTCTGCGGGGAACCACTCTTCCCGTCCTTGGGGATTTTTCTAGCCAGTGAGGCGGAGGTGGGACGCCGGAACCCGATCATCTTACGCTCGTACAACAGGCCATCGAGAACGCGGGCGGGTTGGCACAGATTGGACTTGGCCGTGTACTAAGGCCTCAACCGCCAACAGAAGGGCATATCTCCCGGCTCGGCTTTCCCATTCTCAATCTTCTCGTAGACTCACTCGTAGGCTCTCAAAGCATCCACGGTCTGGTAGAGTCTAGGAGCCGTTGTATTCCATGATGTCCCATGGCTGGACATCATCGTTGAGTACGAGGGGATTGATCGGACTTGCGTGTGCCGCCCTTAACTGCCGACCGAAGGGAATTGCTCCCATCTCCTGGCTTCGCGTTGCTGTTCTCGATCTAGTCGTCCTTTGTTTCCCCAGAGGATTTAAAAACCTATTCATCCTCATGCGGCAAGACAACCGAGTCCATATCATCCCAGGCTTGCTCGACGTACGCCCTGTTCACTTCGTTAGCAACCACCCTCACCCCACAACATCACAAACCAAGAAAGGCATGATACGTACGCAGAACTCCTAACAACCCTCTTCCCCTTCTTCACCAAGAAGCTCAAAAACCTTCTCTTGGTCCTCTCCCTTTTAAACCAAGCCAACACATCCCCTCTCGACTCCTCATCCCCATGTGCATCCTTCTTCACACTAATCAGAATCTTCAAACACCCGCTTCCCTCAGGCGCATACACCACCTCCTCGATCTCCTCCAGCCTCAAGTGGAAATCAATCGGCTCTTTGTAAACGCCCCAAGTCACGCGACGGCCCTTGACGTCTTTAAGGACTTGGTGTTCGAAGCAATTTTCCTCTCCGCGACCCGTCAGGTCCTCGCCGGCTCCCAACCAATGCCAGTATTGTGTTATGCCTGTGTTGGTGGTCATTTCCCGGTGACGGACTTGAAGCAACCGCCAGTCGACTTCTTGGATTTTATCGCCTGAGTAGGAGTCGTCGGAGGTGTAGCCTTCGTAGTAGAGGTCTTCGGGCGGAGCGAGAATTTTGAGCGTTACCGAAGGAGAGGGTTGGTGGTGTTTGGCGGCGGGGGGTTGGGGATGCGCATGGGGGTGACCGAGTTCTTCTGGTGCAGAGGGCGACGAATGAGAGGATGGGGGTTTGGATGGGGCTGTTCCGTCGGCTTGGTGGTCTACGACACGAAGTTGCTCTTCTGCGAAAGACTGGTTGGCAGGGTCATCTGCCGCAGGAGCAGCCGCCTTCCTTTTTGTCCCCTTGTTCGTCTTCTTAGGAGCTGGCCCGTCCTCTCCCTTATCAGCCATCGTAGGCTTGTAGCCTCTCGGCCGGCCAATGTTGCCAAACCCGCTCTCGCTGCGGAGTTGTCGAAGCTTGGGATCCGAGTAGAGGTTCTCCACCGCCTTGCCCAGGTTGAACTTATCGCCCAGCTCTTCGTAGATTTCGTGTAGTCTGTGTCTAAGCCATTGCGAAGGCGAAACATCTAGCTGCTTAAATCTCTTGAGTTCCTCCAGCACCTGTACCATGCGGTACAAATTATCATAGCCCGTGTAGGCTTTGTTGATGAGGTGCTTTGCCATGAGCTGATAGGGGTGGAACTCCCCATTTGCTAGAAATTCCAAAACCAGCTTGCCCCTATTTTGTTGACGACCAGCCAGGTATTTAGTCGACGCCGCACCGCCCTCGTTTTTCAACTTCTCGTACTTTTCTGACCACTTCGCTAGTTGGGCTTGAACCGGCTCTTCGAGCGCGACCCATTCGGGATCCCAGTAGGGATGGTCGGGACCGATCCTGGCGAGGGGAACGCCGCGCATGCAAGGTGGGTCTGTAAAAACAACTCCGTCATCACGGAGGGCGAGGACTGCTTGGTTGATGGGAGGGAGGTCCTCTGTGTGATCGCTGTCGTTGGGTGCCGGGCTGCCTTCCAGGGGTGTAGGGGCAATCGAGTCGGGCTGTACACTAGACTTGCGCGTGCTCGGAAGTGACTTACGCCCCGAGGGCAGTTTGGATCGTGCTGGCTGCTCGTCTCCGTTGGGTACGCTGCTGACCACCTTGGCCGTCTTCTGGCTTGTCGATGTGCCGTTCACAGCCTTAAAGCCACTGGTAACAACGGGAGCTTCCTGAACCACCTCTCCGTCCCCGACCTTTTGATTGACTTCGGCCATCTCGTGGTCTGCATGCTTAGAAGCACCACTGCATCCCTGGCGATTCCACTCGCAATTACCGCACCTGGGGAAGCCCTCGGCGTCCAGGATAATGCACTGCGGGAAGACACCTTGCCTCGTTGTGCACGACGCGCAAGGGGTTTCCTGAACATCGCCCGTAGCTTGAATCCAACAGCTCAACCACTTGGCGCCCTTCTTGTCGCTCGGTTCGTAGATGGTTTCCAGCGTCTCGGCGGTGAAGTTTCGTCCCTGTCGGATCTGGACATGGCGTTTGATCGGTTGCTGCTGGACATGCATGGTCAAGTGGTTTCGCAGGTTGATGGGCCGCACATGGCCGACACATATACCTGCACCATTGTAAACCTTGGGGAGTTTGTCGATGTCCACGACCTTTCCATCCAGTCCATTCTCCATCCTCTCCTTCTGCTGTTGTTGTTCATTGCGTAGTTGTTGCTGGAGTTCTTGTGCCCTGTCCTGCTCCTCGCTGGGCGTCCTACCACCTTCCCTAGGCCGACTAGGCAACGCATGCCGTTGCTGCTCCTCTCTCAGCGGCGTCTCCCGTTGCGACGGCAATCCCGAAGTCGAGCCATCCTCACCTCGAGGCTCACCCCCGACCACAGCAACCACCCCCCTGGCCTTCTTCGCCAGCATTGCCAAATCTGCCGGGTCCTGTCCTTGCTCGCCGGATGCAGCCTTCCTCCTGTTCTCCTCAAACCACCTCCTCTTCAACTCATCATCCCTCTCCCGCTCCTCCCGAATCGCCTCATACCTCCTCTTCGTGTCCTCCTCCTTGGCCTTCCTCTGCGCCTCGATCTCCATCCACTGCTGATCAACAGCCTTGAGCTGCTCCAGCAGCTTGACCCGCTCTTGGCTGAGCTTTAGCTGGCGGTCGGCTAGTTCGGATTCCTCTCGGGCAAAAGCCTCGCGCAGCTCGGCGTCTTCGCGCTCGCGGTTGGCGGTGGTGGACGTCCAGTACTTGGTCATGATTTGGTCCCAGGTTGTGGCGTCGAGGTTCATCTGGGTTTCTTCTTCGGCATCATTGGTGACGCTGGGGGTGGTGCTGGCGCCGGTGCCATTGGTGATGGGGTTGCCGGATGTCATGGTGCCGGCTCTGGCGGGAAGGGCTAATGGTGGCATTTCGCCTCCCTTTCCGCTTGCGGGTGTGGTACACAATCGATATGTATTAGGGAGGTGAGGTCGGACCTAGCGTTGTACCCTACTAGGCAGTGAACGTTTGATGTCCTACTTGACCGGTGTCTTGGGATCGAAACTGGAGAAGCCTGAAGATATTGAGTCAATAAAAATGAAGGTGAGGGCAAACGAAAGTGGAGGAAAATATGTGAACGTGGCAAGATTCGGAGAAAAAGTCAGGTTGGGCCAGACTCGGGATGAAGTAATTACCTATACGGTGGTGCATGAGATTGAGGTGTTGCGTGGTATACTAGTATTGTATTCGCCCCCATGCACTTTCTGCGCCGGTTAGGATTTGGGTTGAATGCACAAAACCTAACCTTGGATACGGGACACGGGAAAAAGTAGGAGAAAAAGGAGAAAGTGGAAGGGGCGTGCGAGTGGTGCGGGCAATTACGTCCCGGATGGGGTTTTGTTACTCGGGGGATGTAGATAGGACTTACTAAGTATGGGATGGGCACAAGCGGATGTGGATGGAGATTGGGTACGAGGCGAGTAAACCCAAATGCTAAGTGATGAGATGTTGTGGTGATACCTATAGGGCGGGAAGAAAAGTATTGGAGAAAGAAAGGGCGTCCAAGCAAGCTAGAAAAAAGATGAGATGTGACACGCAAGGCAAAAAGGGTGAATGAATTGTAGGTCGGTACAAGTTAAAGGTACCTTGATGATTTTTTTTTTCCGTTCCCACACGGTTAGGCTGCGCAATGTTTTCCCATCATTACGAAACCAGCTCCTCATGAGCTCCTCCCCTCTATAGGACTGACTGACTGATGAGACAAAGCAGCTGCCATGTGCGTGCATGGACATACGATAATTAGTATTGCTTATTAGGCCCTATTACATGTGCCGGACGTGGTGTGTGGATGAAAGGGAATGGGATGGGGATGTGGACTGGCAAAAAGAGTGGATGTGTTTTCCTATCTTTGTGTGTGCTATTCCAGGTATCCCAGTGTATGTATCCTGGAAAGTCCTATAGTCAGTGAGCCAAGTACCGATCGCATATGTATACTGTGGTGATGGTACTTGTGTGCTGTCAGGCTGTCTATAGGTAAAAATGGAGTCGACATAATGGAGAGGGTTGGGGAAAATTACCGAATGATATTTTAATTTGGGCGCAACCGGTCCTTGTTTTGGTTGCACATGCCTCGCTCCCTCGTCCGTATAGGGGGTGAGGCCAACCTAAGGGAGACTAGTTAGGAACCTAGCAGATTTCCCAAAATGGGTCACGGTTGCACTGAATAACGAGGGAGGGATTCTCACAATATCAATGCGACTCATCATCGGTATTTCTAGGCAAACAGTTGTAATTGTGCGCGCACTGTCAGCATTTGTAGTCAAAGACAAAAAGGACAGATAGTTCCTACACTCCAGTGAGTCAAGTGCCGTGTGCGACTAGGCAGGGAGAAGTGACAAAGAGAGAATGGAATAATTACTCCGGCGACTTTCCAAAGCCCCAATTGGCAGAAAAGAAAATGCAGCACGAGCTGACGACCGAGTTAGAAGGAACCACCAACGACCAACAACCGAACCGATACAGGCAGACAAAAGGAAAGAGAGACCCAGCAAGGTGCAATGGGATTTATCATCTGGTAAGGACAAGGGTCCCACCGCAAAAGAGCGAGTGTGAACTAATAAAATGATTTCCGTGACGTATTCATTCGGTTCAGTTCAGTTGTATCCCGACCGACAATACTGCCAAAAGTGACATGACATGATGTGCTGTGGTGCTCGGGTACGAATTCCAACGCTAATTGACTAACAAGCCCAAAAAAAAAAAAAAATTTGAACCTCGGCGAACTGGAAACTCCCATCCGATACTCAAATAGTCGTGCGGTCAGTGAGTCGCGAGCAGGAATCGGGGAAATAAGGAGCGACCGGGACCCGTCGTATTATAGTCGGCAAATGTCGTAAATCTGCAAATTACAATTGCCTCCTCCCTAGGTTTAGGTTCCCAGACCTACCCTCCCGAAAAAAAAAGGAACCATGATATGACTGACTGCATTTAACAACAAAAGTCCCAATGTTACGTCCCCAGGTGAGAGAATACCATCACGAGGCTGACGGAGTTTCTTTTTCCTTGCTTTATATCTTCAGAAAAAAAGGAAATTCGCGTGGCGTCAGTTGAGAGATCTGCTTCTAGCATGAGGGGAGAATGGAGACCTCGTCCATGTCGGTCGGAGATATAGTGGGCGGTGTCTCCTCTGTATCTCCCACGAGATACACACACGGACCATCCATTGGCACCTTTTAACATTGAAACCTGCTTGGTGTCAAACTGCCGTTGTTCACATTGTTGCGCCATGGTCTAATCTAACGAGGAAAAAGGGGCTGACATATACTACCTCTACCCAGCGTGAAAGGGTGTCATCAGTTCGGGTGGCCTCTGGTATAATTATACCTCTGAATGGTACATTACCTAGGGGCATGGCCTCACGCCACGAGGCTAGAGAAACTGTGTGTATCGAGTATAGGCCACTCTGTGAGGCTTAGTGATGGTTTAGTGATTCAGGTCGCTTCTGCGATGAAGGTGAACGCCGATGCCTGCCCTGAGCAGTTTGTACCACATCGTCCTCATAGCCTTCTCCATTGTCGACTTACTTATAGTGGCTGCAGCTAATTGTCAGCTTGGCTTGCAGCATCCATTCATCACCATCCAATTTTCCAACCCCCTAACCCACGAACTTTGTAATTCCGCCAAGCGCCATTACTACTTCCGACTTGTTATATAACCTCAGATGCTGACCATGATTACCTGACTTTATGTACAAACCAGGTGCTGTCCGTATTTGAGAGCCCATACATAGTCAGTCAATGTGTGCAAAGTGCCAAGGGTGCCTCGGCTGCCTCCTTTGTCTATATGTCCGGTTATATTGGCCATCAGTGTCTGGTGAGGACAATAACACTTACCTACCTATACACACCTTCACAGTATCTCCAAGAGTGATACGATAACAAGCAGCCGAAGTCCCTGCGAACTGCCTGCGAGCTGTGTGATGAAAAGTGGTATAATGCTATCAATGTCTAAAAGAAGAATATTACCAAAAACTTTCCCAGGCATTTAGGTCAAGCAGCGTTGTCTCGACGACTTCCCCAATAACGGCGTAATCATCCCAAAAGTCTTGCTCGTGTAGCATTCGACATGCCCAAGCTTTCGGGTCCATTAACGCCAACCAAGAATAAAGTGAATTCTCAAACACGCTGTCGTCGGGGTACTTGCTGCTGTTGCTGTTCTGTTTCCATTACCAAAAAAAAAAAAATCATAAGCTGCGTTGTGCATTTTTGCGCCCGCCCAACCAAAACAAGAACATGACGAGTGCCGTGAGCACATGGTATCAATCAACCGCTGAAACATCACAACCACAATCCATCCGTCTCTGTCCATCCATCCATCCATCTCATTCTCTACACTTTCTTTCCTAGCACATCTCAGGCCGTGTCAGGCGTTCTAATACCTCAAAGACTGCCTGTTGGGACTAGGCGTATACCCGTGACTCTCCCGTCTGTGATGTCCACCCTCATACCCGCTCGCACTAGCACCACTTCCCGTTCCCGGTCCAGGAGCATAATGCCCCTCATAAATCGGATCCGCATAGACCGTCGCCCTCCTGTCCTCCTCCGGGCCCTGGGGCAACAACTCCTTGACCTCCCAGTTGTTCATCCTGGTGCCCACAGAGAACTCCAAGTCCTCCTTGGTGATCGAGTCCCAGTACTTGTACACCATCATCACGGCCAGCAGGTTGCATGTCGTGGCGAAGAAGAGACCGTCGAGGTAGTGCGAAATACCCTCGCAGATGGGCGAGCTGAAGGCGTAGAGGATGACTTGGCCGGCGATGAAGAAGAAGACGCCGAAGGCGATGTCTCCCAACGGCCAGCGGTCCTGTAGGGTGCGAGTAACGAGGATGATCTGCATTACGACGTAGATCAAAAGCTGGAGGGCGTTAAGCAGGTAGAGCACGACGAAGATGCCGACAGTGTTGGTGGGACCCAAGCCGGCCCATGATTTAAACGTAGCCAGACCGACGAGGAAGGAGATGACGAATGCCACAAAAGAGCTAAGGCGGAGCATCCACAACGAGAGAGGAGTGCCGTCCTCATAGAGCTGGAAGCCGACGAAGCCGTTGATTACGAGGCAGGTAACAAGGGCTGAGGCAAGACCGGCCTGTACGGCGACGAAGTAAGGGTAAGAACCGGAGTGCGGTGGAATGACGCCGGCATCGATGCAGAGGGAGAGGAAGGTGAGGATCATGTAGAGGTAGAAGAAGGTGGTGATCTCTTTGCGGCCTGGACACAATATACTTGGTTAACACCCATTTCCCCCCAACGTCTATTCGGGCAAAGGCAAACCTACCAACAGCAGTAAACTTCCCCCTCACATGCAACAACATGACCACCGTCATGACCAGCGCAACAATATGCATCACGCTGGCCGCGCCCTGAAAGATGATGGTGTTGGCCACCTCAATGTTGCGCGCATAGCAGTCCGGCTCGATGCCGACGCCACTGGCGATCGATGTTATCGGGCCAACTGACGCACATAGCGGAATAGGTGCAATACGACATATGCTGCTGAAATCCCCGAATCTGCCCATGGTTGGCAATATGTGAGGCCGTCGAGGGCCGGGTCAAGGGTCGTTCGGCGAGGGTTTCGTTTGTGTCGTCGGGGTCCGGAAAAGAGCAAAAAGCGATGCACGGGGCGGGGCCGAGAGAGGATGGGAGGAATCGTCAACTCGGTGTCAATTCACGGCCTCCACAGCTTCGACAATTCGGTCTGCCGTCGCGAAAGATGAAAGCGTGGTGCGTAAGATTAGGGAGAAGGTTGTGTCTCTTTCGTATTCCCGTCTGGGTTCGAGTGAGACGGGCGCGTAGTGGAGTCCGTGCTACTGTAAATTGCCCGTATAAATCGTCCGAGTCTGGAACTGGCGAATAATTCGATATGCGATAGAATATTGATTTGCAAAAACGAGAGTGTTGATGGAGATGTTTCAACGAGTGTGTTTCGGTGGTTGACTCGACGACGACGACAACGAGAGAAGTTGGACGACCAGCCACCCGAGAAATGCGCAAAACAGGCTTCTCCGCCGTGTCCGTCCCTCGTGTTGGTGGTTGCGACCGTGAGAAGCGGGAGCTGAAAGATGAACTGAAGGTCAGTGTGGAAGCTGTGTGGGACTGGGAACTGCAGCTGACTGAATCCAGGCCCAGGGCGCTGGCTGTCCGAGAAGGGCGACCCAGGCGGAAAAGGGAGAACGGGGCACAGTCCAGCGGAGCACAACAGGGAATGACCAGGTGCCATCTGGCTGTCATTTGGGTGCCAAGAGAGCCATTCAGCTGGCAAAGCGGCAACCATCACTTGGCCCAGTGGATTTCCATTTCTTTGGAGTTTGGGGGCTCCGCCAACAGTGGCTCGTGATCTTCGAGATCTTCAACAACCCAGTCTTCAACTCCAGTCTCCCTCTCCTGGACTCCAGGCTCTCCACGATTCCACCTTCACATCTTGTGGGTATCAAGGAAATGATAGAGATAAGTCACTCAGTGTTTATAAAACTACTCTCTCTGCACCCTCCTTTTCTTTCACTAGGTGATAACAACCAACGAACGAGTTACAATGATGATACTGACTCAGCTCTCGCAATACAAATATCAACCACATATCTCGTCCGTCCTTCGCATCCACTACACTACTATGCAAAGCCCACACAGTCTACTAACTGTTTTTAAAGTCTGAAAGAACAGGCCAAAAAGAACATCATCATGTTAATGCTAAGTATCAAGTTTATTTCCCTTTGCCCTTGTACAATTCACCAGTTCCCTCCCCAAACGCCATTCGTAAATGAACATATCAAGCCGCCGTAGCCGCCTTATGCCCTTGTCTTTTAATGCGTTGTCATGCCATCATTGCCATAGCCACCCTCCTATTCCGTGTCATGCCGAAAAAAAGAACTCCAGCTTTTCCCCTCTCCTCATTCATTGTGTCTATGCGTGTTTCCAGACAGAAATCCCCCAATGGGTTGAGAAAACACCGTCTATCAATGGACCAGCCCACCAAATGCAAAATGCTCAAACGCCTTCTTGTGCACCAACTTCCTTGACCGTACACATACATCAAGTCATTGAAAGTCATGATCATAGTCCTCTCCTCCTAGCAGTCAAAGAGCCCATGTCGAGTCGCATCACAGGGCGCTCAATCTCCAAGCTCCTACTCGGAATGAGCCTGCCACCTGGTGTCCTTGGGTTGGCAACGTTGACTCGGCCACCACGATGCGGCCTTGCCGGTCCCTCTTCTTCGTCCGCGCTACTTGACGAGTCATCGTCGTAGTCCTTGTTAGCTGGCAAGTCAGAGCCAGTTACCACTTGATTAGAAGCAAAGAAGCCTTCGTCTCTGCTGGTCGGCCTAGGGATGCCTCTCAATGTAGCAACACTCTCCTGGCTGCCGCTTCGGTCACCCATCTTTGGTCGTCCGGTATCCTCATAGTCTGCGAGCCTGGCAAAATAGTCTGCTAGGCCGTCAACACTGGGCGTACCAATGATGGCATCGTATTGGGGCGGCGGCGTCATCAAATCGGCTTGGAGCGGCGGCGGGGGCTCGTCAGCATCAAATGCCGGTGGGTTGTATGATGGGCAGCGGATAAGGTGGATGGGCCGTTGGAGAGGGCTCGGTAGCGTGTGACCCCGGGCTCGGTTAACAGGCAAGCCACCAGGTGCCAGTGAATCATGGACGTGAGCGGCTTGAGGGACCGAGGGTAAGACCGATGCGCTGAGCCTGTTGAGGCCCAGTCGGCTGCCACTAGGGCTCAGGACATCCTGCTCCACGAGTTGCAGCTGTCCAAACGAGCTCGATGCGCCCCTGTCCAGAACATCGGCATCAGGACAACCGCAGGATGTCTGTTGACGCTCGAAAGCCATGGGGCCATCTAGACCATATTGAGGAAGCGCGGTATTCGCCTGCGTCGCACGGCAGTTCAGTACAGTAAACGGGCTGTCGATGCTAATTTCGAAATGGCGTCTACGCTTGCCCAAGGGGTCTTCAGGATCCAGTCGAGATATCCTCATGACAATCTGGTAGTGAAGTGTTAGTGAACTGACATTCCGCGGGTTGTTCAGGGAGAGGATTCCACATACCTTGATCCAGTGAAATACATTGACATTCTTCCAACTGCAGTCTGGGTGAAGCCGAAGGTTCTTATCCCGGCTCATCATGGCGCATGTCGGAATTTGCACATTCATCTCAAGCTCGGTACTGCCCCAGAAGGTTTCCAAGCCAAGATCCAGATCGCCCAGTAAGTTCTCAGTCGGGTTCGGCAATGGCGGCGATGGCGCGTTTGTCCTGGCTGCTTGCACCATCCTTCGCGCTGCCGCGGACCGCCTGCCCTCTTCACGTTGCTCAGGGCTTAGTTCACCACCGCTCAGAATGCGGAAGTCGCTGGTCTCAAACTGCTTATCAAGGGGTTTCCCAGCAGTTTTTTCGAGCAATAAGATCTTTCTTCCAGCATCCTTTCGGGTTACGTGCCTGTCGTTGGTCCAATACTCAACGCTCTCCGTCACAAACACCTTAAGCTTGTGTACTTGAACCTTGGCCAGCGGGGTGAGCTTAAAGGCAATAGGGATCTTGGCGCCAATGGGAAAGCTCTTGCCAGAGATCATGATGTCGTAATGCAGCTGATCTTCCCATTGCCTGCTGATGGAGATGGGTTCTGACATTTCAAGCGACATGGAATCCGGCAACCGAACGATGGACACCTCCTTGGTGCCGTGAAGATTGGGCTTGAAGGCGCCCGCACGTTCTACCGTTGCTTCCAACTCCCACTTGACGGATCCGTACTGCAGCTTGGTGGTCTCCAACTGATGATGGTCGATGGGCAGCTCAAACGTGTACTCGTATGTACCAGCCTGGAACACCTTGTACCCCTTTGCATGGATCTGGCTTGCGAAGGGAGAGTCGCCTTTACCAAAGCTCCGAGAGTTGACAGACTGAAGCGAGAGCCTCTTGAGCTCCTTGGCAGTCAGGCTGGTTGAGTGTCGCTTTCCGGTGAGGTGGGAGAAGGAGCCATTGGAGATGTTGGATGACAGAGAACCCCGAGGGTTGTGGCTGCACCCACTTCCCTTGAGTGAGTATGTGCACTGGTTTCCATATTCCGTCTCCCACCGTCCGCCGTGGATGGCTTGGAAGAAGACTAAGGACTGTGTTCGCAAAACTTGCTCCTCATGTGTTTCTGTTTTGTTGGGTGGAATTCCTTCTGGCCATTCCGTCCTCGCTTTGCCTATGAGCTTCAATGTCACAGATTTGAGCTTAACGTTCTTTGACACGTTCAGCTGGAGCTTTCCGCGGAGCAAAGCGGATGCGCCGTGACTTTCTTCCCGGGCACGGTCATTGTGGTCGAACCCAGTCAAGAAGACATTTGGTTCCGCCAACACTATTGAACATGTTACACCGCTTCCGGACGCAACGGGCTTCTGAAGTTCGGTAACTGATGAAATCGCCGACTTGCAAGTGCAAGCAGACACCACGCTACTCCGGTTGTTGGGTAGCACCATGGGAGATGCGGGTATAGAGGCGACGGCAGTCATGGCGGACTGGTCGACTGTGAGCTCCGGGCCCACTGTTGTCTCGTACTTGGATCTGCGAAAGTGACCGATTAAACTCGACGTCCTCGGTCTCCTCGTCCTGGGGGCGGTGTCGGTAGCCTGGGACGCCAGCGTAGCTGATTTCGGGGGTTTCTTTGCTTTAATGGAGAAGACAGACAAGATCTTGTCTATGACTTTGTGGACCGCTTCCCCGGCCGGGGGTAGTAAACGAACGGGTGGAAGCTGCTCGGATCTTCTTCGGCGAGCTTTCTCCTCAAGTTTCCGACGCTTGTTTTGCTTCTTCTCCGCCCTCTTCCTGGCCTTCTTGTCCTTCTGCTCCTTTCGCTTCCGGTCCTTTTCGGCAAGCGGGTCAGGTCGTAGCTCGTGCGGAATGAAACCGGGAGGATATGCTGAAATGTGAATCGAGTGTGGACGGCGTTGACGAGGTCCTATCAAGGGACTGGGAAACGAGGGGGTTGTTGTAGATACCGGGGCGCTGCGCCTGTTGTGACCTGTGGTAGGAGTGTAGTAGATGGATCCACGAGAAGATGACGAGTACGGCTGACGTCGTTGTCGATTACGTTGTTGGGGGCCTGTTGAATACATGGTGGGCTAGATTAGAGACTGATCCTGGCTAGGCGTGGTTTGAACGGTGACGACAGATGGGGGCGGAGATGTAGCTGTTATGCTACCAACAACAACAAGGTTGGAGGGGTCCGCCACGAAGCGGATGCAGAGAAAGGTAGCAGGAGGGTGACATGAGAGGATGATGAAAAGGACGGTTGAAAACGAAGGTGATATCAAAGAGTGGAAAAAAGATGTGCAGTGTAGCCCGGCAGCAGATGGGCCGAAGGGACGGGGTAGTAGTAACAACCGGTAGTGTAATACTGGAAGGCGGGAGTGATGGGACGAATGAGACGGGACTCGGAGCCTGAGCCAGCGTCCTCCATGAAACCCATGTGGAGTGATGGGATCTAGAAGAGGGCGGGACCTGGTCTCTCTTTCAAGGTGATCCGTCAAGGGGGGCTTGAGAGAGGTGTTGGGGTTGAATGGGGACGTGAAGTGAGTGCAGTCTAGACGTGGTGCCATGTTGGACGGCTGTGTTGGACAGGCATGATCCGTATCGAGCAAGTTGATGAAGAAGGAGCGACCGTTCTGAGAAAGGGCCCCTCCTTCTCCTCCCTCTCCACCAAGCAGACACATGGCGTTGTGACGATACAGATACACAGCTCAGTCATTCTTATACTATCCAACACTGAAACATGATAAACCATGACCCAACGGTGCACACACTAGACCGTGAACACATCACAACAACCATTCACGGGGAGACCGTGGCGATGGCACTATGACATGGAACTTGGACCGTGGTGACCTGGGGATTTACCTGAGGTAAACAATCTCACACACAGCCCTCTCAAACGTCAATTTGAGCCATTCAGCGCACTGGCGCTGCTGCGTTCGCCATGCACAAGCACGCTCACCTCAGCTTGACTCCAGTTGGGAGTGACAAGGTAGGGCTGGCTGAGCAACAGCTGCACCTGTGCATAGCATGGAGATGCCGCCAGCGAATGGCCAGTCTTGAAGATGGGATGAGGTACCGTAATGGTCCATGTCATCAACATAAGGGAGGGAGCAGTTGAGGTTGGGATGATGGCAGATGGATGGAAGAAAAGTCGACTCGGCGTTGAACTCCCACACAACTAAGCCTCCATCCATCGTTGACCGTTGTCCGGATCTCCCGTTTGGGTCACCGTGCACTTCCATGCCATGGGTGGATGTAGATGGGATGTGCATGATGGATGTGGATAGGATGTGCATGAGGTCTCGAGTCTCTGTCTGGATCTAGACTCTCAAATTGCCCCAGACTTGGGGACATGACATGGAAGGAGCCCAGCTGGGGAACATGGTAATGCGGTGGGGAGGGAAGGTGCAACAAACAGCAACAGCAAGAGCACCTCAGTAACAACAAGCAAGTCGGAGCGAGCAAAGCAAGAGAGACTCTTGTGTCTCCTTGCCCATTTCTCAAGTGTGGAGAAGAGAGGAATGCGCAAAACTCCGATGTGAAGAAGAAGAGTAAAACCAAAACACTGGGGGATGCAGGTTGCCATGGGCGCGTGTATGTGTTATAGTAGAGTATAATATAAAAACGAAACCACAGCACGTACCTGTACCTCTATCTCTGCGCTTCTATGGCTGCTGGGCGCAATCAACCGTCCGTGATATCGGGTAGTGGTGAGCTGTTTGGGTAGTACAGTAATTTGCGGAATCGCGATCCCGACCTGCACAACGCTCGCTGTGTTGTTGTCGATGTGTTTTGCAAAATGTGCAATAATAAAACGACAAGGTCCAAAGTTAAACGTTGCGTTGGTTCTGGTCTTTGTCGTAATCAGCAAGTGTTGGTTATGATATCAAACCGGTTGACGCAAGAAAGAAGCCCCGCGGTGCCGGAACGGCCGAGGGGAGGACCGGGCGTAGTGTGCCGTTGTTGGTCTTTGTGCGTGTGGCTGTGTCCCGCCGTAAGCCGAGACGACAGTGATGATGATACTGATGGCTCAAGATTGGGTGGTAATAGTCGAGGGAGTCGTGTGTTTGTTAATCGAGGTGGATAAGGATAAGCATCTGGCAGGAATGTCTCACGCCCGGGAGTTGTTGGGTTAAGGTCGGATGGTCACGCTGGGAGTGTGCCGGGATGACGGGATGTTTGCGCGCGCGGTACTTGGGTAACTCTCTGCAGTGGGATATGTATGTATATCCTCGGTCTCTGCTGGCGAGGTTAGACTTGTGGTGTCGTTGGGTCAAAGATATGACGGACCAGGGCGCAGGGAGGGCGTAGGTAGCAGACTGGAACTCGACTCGATGCGGCGTAGAAAGAGTTGGAGCCAGGAACTTGAAACAAAAGGCCGGCGGGACGGTAAAAGGGGACTCAAGAGTCAAGGGCCTGGTTGTAGTAGGACCGTGGTAGTATTGATATTACTAAGTTGTGAAAAGCAAACAAAACAAATCTCACAAGTCAATGATGAGAAGACTTGGCCAACATTCTTCCGCACTCGGGAGGCAAGGCGAGGGAAGATGCACCCTGATTTCCCCGCCCAGGACAGCACTCATGGCCATTGGGTCTGAAGAGGGTCTGGAGACGGTCTGGTCGGAGAGATCAAGGTTGGAAAAGGTGTGAAGACGGCCAGGGGGACGCCATGATCTCCACCAATGCAAGTATGATGTATTTGCAACGCCGCATCCCTGCCATCCTTTCCTGTGCTGCCCTTATCCCCACTGCCGCTAACAGAAAAGGTGGAGGAACTGCATTCTTGGCACCGATAGGGTCGCACTCGGTGGGTACCACAGGTCCGCCCACCGGCACGACCAAACTCTGAGATTTTCACTTTCTTGGTTTGAGGTGCCAGAGATGCCCTTTTTTGTCATTTTTTCCCAGCATGACACTCCCGTCATCGATCGTGTTCCGTTATCGCTTACCATTCCGAGGGACCCGGATGGGCAAGTCGAAGAGGATCATGATGGAACAAACACAACGTTGTTAGTGCGCGCAACTATTAGACTTAGTCTAAGAGACAGACGAGCCAACCGATGCCGATGTGGCCGCTTGCGTAGACCTGATATACACACATGCCATACACACCTACCACGACGGGTGAATCAGTCCAGAAACGGAAGAGGCACGCATTGGCTCGAACAGAGAGAGAGGAAACAGGATGTCGCGTCGTTTGAGGTTCAACGGTTGAAAGAGTCAGGATGGCACCAAGACACCAACGGCATACCAACGGCCAACTTAAATCCAACCTTAACATGCCTTGATCCTCCCCTCCTCTACAAGCTATACATATGTACATGCTTCCCTCCTCCCTCCCGTTGGTGCTTGTGCAGCCGCGGTACCTTGAGCGACAGCGCATCACAACACGGCACCGCACTCTTTGAGATCTTTCGAGATCTGATGATCATTGTGGGTGAGAGGCGTTTTGATTTCAAAGACAGATCTCAAAATGTAGGTAAATTGACACTTATGGATGGCATTACCGTGTAATGGGTAATAATGGTTCGAGACGGATTGAGATATCTCCACATCCAGATACAGTAGTACCTACCTCTATGCGATGCATGAACGGCTGTCCTGGCACTTTCAGCCTGTGTCTTTTGCCTCAACATCCGCTGCCAGGGACATGACTCTGCACATACGGAAATAACGGCACATATTCACCGCCATTAATTCCCTAGCAAAAACCGGCGTGCCTGATGACTTTGCTTGTTCACTGTCAAATAATGCAAAATGTGAGGACGGAATTCCCGTTGCCCCTGCTACACTCACAAACCGGCGCCAGAGCAGCACAGGCCCCAGGGGTTCTGTAAGGCACATGGAGCTCCCCAATTCCCTACGTCATTATGGCGGGGCCGTTGTTCATCAATCAGGGCAGGCGCCGGTTCCACGCTTTTGGCTGCTGACCCATTGGGTACCAAGATATGTACATAGGTTTTGTGCCATTCTCGTCTCGCTGGGCACCTTCTCGCTTGTCGCTTCTCGTCTTTTTTTTTCACTTGGAGATTTCCTCTCGTGCCTCTTCGAAAGCATCCAATCCCGAGTCCCGAGGCGAATGCAACGCGCGACTCGAAAGGGAACTGCAGACACTTGTTACGCGCCATACGTCTGTCACACATAATCGACGCCATTGTTGACGACTCATGACACAAAGTGCGCGTTCAAAAGCGCCCAACGGCCGCGGTGCTTTAGCGGTGCAGCAGTGCTCAGAATGCCTTCAAACTCTGTCGAAAGGCTGACGCAAAAAGGCACCGGACGATCCCTCGACCTCGGCGTCAAGAAAACCAAACCTAGGGAAAAGTCACCGAGCGGGAATAACGAAACAAATGGAGGGCCTGACAGCCATATCCAAGTCCATGGAACGGACAACCCTCCGAGATCGCCCTTCCGTACCTTCGCCGCCGCCGCCATTCTCCCGGCACTTCCGGTTCCTTCAGCTTGTCGTCGTCACAGTACCGTAGCATGATCGACCGCCGCATTAGCTCGCTTAGCTTGGTGGGCGCTCGTGGGCGCTCGTGGGCTGACGGGTTCTTACGGAAGAACACTCATCCCCGTCGTCGACTCACATCACAGCCCTGGGCTTGACGGAACCAGGGACTCGGAACCCATCTTGGCTTTCAGTACTGTCAACACATGCTTGAATAGCGCGGATACATTCTACTTGCTTGAACGAACGTAATGACTACGGCTAACCAGACCTGAACAGAAGCACTTTCACCCAGACACACGATTAGTCCCTCCAGAACCTACGAGGCTGTGGTTGTCGTCGAATCACCGGCCGGTGGTCCTCATCTGCCCTCCGTTTTCGTATTCTCTCCAAGTCCAAGACACTCTCGTTCGAAAACACCTTGCCGAACCGAGCCCGAGCCGCCCCGCCAAACCGGTTCGGAGGATGAGCACCCATATTCCAACGCTCACGGGCAGGAGCCGGGGCCGGTGCCGGCCGTCGCCTTTCTGGCTCTCCGTAAAACCTCTTAGCCCACGCTCTCGATTCCTCCTCCGACTTGTCCAATCTGCTCCTCAGCTTGTCCTTGATGACCACCTCGAGCTCCTGGAGCGTTGGCCGCGATAACGGAGAGTGATACAAGCACTGCGCAACCAGTCTTCTCAGGTCTCGGTCCGTGTCATCGTAGCGCCCGGAGTACATCAGATCGCCTCCGTATGTAGCATCTTTCACGGTTCGGTCGAAAACCTTACTGGAGTATACCAATGGTTCCTTTTTTTCGTTAGGCCAACACAAGGTGATCAAGGCATACATGGTCTAAGAACGGCCCGAGTTAGCTTTGAGCGACAAGTGTCAAGTCGAGGTTACATACCCAGGCCATCTGCCAAATGTTCATGCTTTCTCGATAGTTGCCCGCCGTCGGTGCCCCATCGGCGGCCGGTGCCCCGGCGTGCCAGTCCCATTCTTCGGTAAACTGTTCAGGCGTGTAGAGATAAACCTTCCCGGACTGGCGGGCATACCATACTCTTTCGGGGTCTCGTCGTCCGCGGGAGTTGAAGATTTCTCCCAAGCCCAGGTCACCGATCTGTTTGTAGCCATTGTCAGTTGATCACAGGTCACTATTTTTAAACCTCCATCTTGTCTGAACCAGTGACCTACCTTGTGTATAGGCGCAATAGAATGATTACGTTGTCCAAACGTGCCAAAGCCTCCCACCAGAACTGTTGCAGTTAGTAACCTCCTCCCAGGTGTTGTAGTATCAACACTCACTATTAGTAGGATCAATATCAAAATGCACCAACGTATCCCTCGGAGCCTCGTTGCAATCCATAGCCGACTCTTCAACCCTCCACTCCTTTCCGGGGTAAGCCAAAGCGACCAAGCCGCGAGCAAGGCAGTCGAAGATGGTCCATAGCGCCCTGTCGCTGAACGTTTTTCGTTCCTTGGCCATTTTGACGATCCATTTCTCCAGCGTGCCGCGCTCCATGAACTCGAGGAAAAGACCGCCGGCTGCGAGGTCACCCTGTTCGATGGCTTCTTCGGCCGCGAGGTTGTACATGTGGAGGACGTGGTGGGCGTCGCGCATCAACTGTAAGGGGGAGAGTTAGCATAGAGTTCTGGTTGACGGTGTCTGACCTGGTTCTTCCTCGAGCAGTCTTCATCCCCTCTTTTATACCCCTTCAAACCTCTCTTCATCCTCTCTTCATCTCTTCTTTCAGGGTGTTCTTCAGAAATCTCTCAAGTCCCTCTTAGGTTTTCTTCTCAAGTCCCCCTCAAGTTCAAACTCCCTTCGCTAGTTTCCTCCGCGTTCTTCAATAACCGAAAGAAAGAAAAGAAAACGATCCAAAACCTACCTCATAATTCCTCCTCTCCTTCTCCACCGTATCCCTCCCCTCCAATTCAATCTTCACCACCACCTTTTCTCCCCCTCCCTGCCCCCCTCCGCCGGGCATAGTAAACAAACAAGCCATCCCAAACCCTCCCCACCCCAACACCTTCTCGAACCTCATGTCCTCCTGCGCCAGTAATCTCTCCAATCTCCGTGCCCTTCTCTGCACACCCGGTGACGGTCCCTCCTTCTTGGCATCCTCCTGGCTCTTTGAATACGGCTCCGGTTCTCGAAACGTGTTTCTCCCCGGACGAGGAGGAGGCGGGCCGAAACCTGGCCAGTGCGTGGGTCGACGACGGGGGAACTCGAGGTTGTGGATGGCGTCTCGGCGTTTGTTGCGGGACCAGGAGGAGGCCCGGCCCATGCGATAGTAGGCGAAGTAATCGGTTTGTTCGCGTTGGACGTCGCGGAGTCTCATCGTGTCGGTGGTGGTGATGGCCCTGGGGAGAGGCTGTGATGGAGGTATATGGATTGGGCCGGGGGGGGTATCTTGGTGGGTGGGTACTTTATTGCGAACGGCAGTTCGTGATATTGGGTTGGTCCCTCGGAGACTTGAGAGTTGAACAAGTTACAGTGATGATAATCTTCTACGTCGGGTAAATATGTCAAGTGTTTTCTCACGGTCAGCCGGGGTCAATTGGATGGAATTGCTATCGGGTGAAGCTGGTGTTAATATCTTGTCAACAATTTCGATATGTTCCGAGAAAGCGGTATGGTTCTTTCTCTTGAATCAACATGTGGCTTGAAGAGCCAGGCCAGGTTCAAGGCCTCCATAAAGACCATTAGCAGTCTGAGGACAAAGCATGTAGTGCAAGGTCAATGGGAGCTTTGGGCGGTCAACCCCAAAGGTGCAAGATCGGAGCCCATTCAAGATAATCCCGGAAGCGGGTGGACTGACAAAGAAGAGGCCACCTACATTGAGATATTCATTGTAGCCGATTGTGCTTTCAACAACTCACTGTTCATAAGCTCTTATTGTTCACCACCACAGAAAGTCAGAACAGGTCCAAGTCCAAAGTCTTGTATTATTATCCAATGCCCCATTACATCCTCCTCATTACCTTCAATATCTGGGTATCCTACAATCATCTCGTCTTGTACACATGACCACCGCGTTTCATAACTGCAACCCAAACAAGTTGCCCTGGTCATGATCCCATCGTTAACCGTCATAAAAAAGCCATGATAAAAACCTCCTCCGCGCTTGCCGCCCACTCTCTTTCTTTTCTAACCAAGCAGACCAGGTACATGATGCTGCGCTTCGCGATACAAGATGCCATGCTATGCCATGTATGTGTATGCCAAAAATGACGTTGCCTTGTCCTTCTTTTTTTTCGATCCAACGTGATAACCTCCCCTGAAGCTTTTCCATATGATACAAGGACAGCTCGTACAAAAGGAAGGTTGAAGTGATTGTACATGAAGACAAATGAACAAGTGAATGTTGATTTGACAAATTGCGGAAATGAGTATGTGTCAAGGACACAGTTTGTAGATGATGGTCGGAGATGGTGGGACAGGGAAAAAGAAAGAACGGAAATACCGGTTGGCCGGTGGCGGGGCGGAAAATGTCCAACGCTCAAAGCCAGAGCGACTTCCTCTTCTCCTTGTGTTTCTTCCTGTCTCTGTATTCCCTGGCTGTTGTCAGCTCAAGGCTCGTTTAGATACCGGCGGCATAATGAAGTAAAACTGACACGGCGCTTCTGTCGCTGGAGTTCCGCACGACGACCATATCCTTGTCCTTCTTCCTCCTGCTCCTGCTGCTGCTCGACTTTTCCTCGTACCTATCACGCGACGACGCCCGAGACCTGCTCTCGCGGCTGTTGGACTTGCGATGGTGGTGAGCGACAACCAGTGACGTCTGAAGACCCTCGAGCTGGCCGCGAGCTGAGCCCAACTGGGACGCAAGACGGTTGTTCTGGTCTCTCAGATGAGCGGCCTCCTCCATCCGACGCTCGATCTCATGGTGCTTGGCATCCAACTCGGCCCTGAGCTCGGCGGTAGTCACGTCGGGATCCGCGTTGAGTTCGTCTTGAAGTCGAATAACCTTGTCCTGGAGCTGCCTCACCCGCTTCACAAGTTCCTCCCTGTTTGCCATGATGGAAGGAAGCTGGTCGGCATCAGCCTGCGCCTTGTTAAGCTTCGCTTCCAGCCTGGACACCTTGTCTTGAAGTTCAGAAACCACTTCACGGACTGCGTCCCTCTCGCCAGATAGGGCGGGGACCTTGTCCGCGTCGCTTTGCAGCGTCGCGACACGAACTTCGAACTCGGCAACCTTGGCCTCCAGCTCAGTGACCTTGGATTCCAGCTCAACCTTGGTGACGCTGAGGTTGGCAACTTGGTATTCAAGCTCAGCCTTGGCACTTTGTAGAGCTGGAACCTTGTCCGCCTCGGCCTGGAGAGCGGCGTTGAGACCAGAAAGCGTCATCATGTTGCCCTTTGCTGCCTCAAGAGACTCGCGCATTCTCGCCAACTCTTGCTCGGCATTGAGCTTTTGAGTGGCAATCGACACGTTGGCAGTCTGCGCTCCCGCCAGATCGGTGTTGAGGGTGCTGAGCAGTGCCTTTTCATTCAACCTATCGGCCTCCAAGTCCTCAATTTGCTTCTTCAGGCCGGCCTTGTCGGATTCGAGACCCTCGATCTGCATGCGGAGGTTAACACCTTCAGCCCTGAGCACAGCAATCTCACCCTCCAACGTGCCGACCTTGTTACTCAGACCAGCACTGGACATCTCGACCTCATCAATGCGCGTGGTGAGAGCGGTGGACCTAGCCTCGGCTGTGGTGAGCTTGCTCTCCAAGTCAGCCCGAGCTGCTTCCACTGCGGCCTTGGCCTCCTCCAGTTCCGCCTTCTCCTTCTCCAGCTCGCCGATTCGCTGTTTAAGCTCCATCTCTGCCTTCTCTGCCGCCAGGGCGAGCTTCTGCTTGTCCTCCTCGGCATCACCAATTAGCTTTTGACGCATCTGGTCGCCAAGGTGCTTCGCATCGGTGAGAGTGGCAACCTCGCCAAGAAGCACTTCTTTGGTGATCCTCAACTCATCAAGGCTGGTGTTCAACTTTTCAATTTCCTTGTCCCTCATATCACGTTGCTCTTCGAGGGCATTGTTCGTGATCCTCATGGTCGAGATTTGCTGCATGAGACGAGCCTCGTGTTCGGACCGATCTCCCTGCAGGGACTTGACATCTTCCTCAAGACGGGTGACGGTAGCCTTGAGGGTTTCGCTAGTCTCCTTGAGATCGTCCCTTTCCTTCTGGACTTCGCTGAGCATTGCGCTGGTTGCTGCACAGGTAGTCTTGTACTCGGCGGCGGTTCTGCTTTCGTTGTCAAGCTTGCCTTGCAGCTCAGCTTGTATCTCAGCCTTTTCCGCACGCGTAGTGTTCAGTTGTTGCTCCAGCTCAGCCATCCTGCGGCCTTGCATATTAAAGTGGTGTTGAAGCTCGTCAATCGTTTGCCTCTCTGCCTCCATCATGGCGACAACCTCGTCCTTTTCATGGTAAGCGTCGTCCCTTTCGTTTTGCATTGCCTCGACATCATCTTCCAGGGCAGCCTGGTCCTCGAGAAGTTCCGCCACCTCGGCCATGCTCTCCTGAAGCTCCTCCCTGAGTTTGCGCTGATCGTCACGCAGGTGAATTACCTCGGCCTCCTTGTCACTGAGCTGTGACTTCAGGTTGTGTTGGCCATTGCGCAGCTTCTTGTTCTCTTCCTCCAGCTGGTTCATTTTACCCAGAAGGTTCTCCTCCTTGTTCTTCTGGTACCAAGCTTTCGCGTACTTCTCATCCAGAAGCTTGTCTTGGTTCTCACGCAAGCCTCTGGCTTCGGTCTCGAGCTCATCAATCTTGCGAAGAAGCTCCAGCTCGGACTCCTTGTGCTCGTGCTCTTTGTTCAGCAGCGCGCTTTGGCCGTTGCGCAGCTCCCTGACCTCAATCTCAAGGTTGGCGATCTTGCGTTTAAGGTTTGTCTCCATAAACTGTTGTTGCCTCAGCTCTTCTTGGCTGGAACTTCGGTGATGAACCCTGATCTTAACAGATGGCAAAGGCTCACTGTTTGTTCGGGCAACGACCAGGTCAGTCCGCGGCGAGGGGCGGGGAGATGGTTGCGGCACGCGAAGCTGCGCACTGCGAGGTGGGAGGTTGGAGCTAGCAACGCTGGTGTCATCATCAGAATCAGACCCGGTGGTGCTACGGGTAAACCGGACGGTAGACTGTGTTGACTTGTTGGACTTTGAGGAGGATCTGATGATGCTTGTTCGTGTTACATCACTGGCGCAGTCCGAAAGGGAGAGTCTCGAGTCGACCGTAGTAGCCAGAGTGCTGGTGCTGTTGGAGTGCATCGAGGATTCCGAGACAGACTCAGTTTCGGTATCCTGATCGTGATAGTCGTGGGGTCTGTTGTCGAGGATATACCGTGGCGCAGGCATAGTGCGCACACTACTAGGAGGAGGGCCGTAGGGACCATCGTGAGGGCCCTGAGGAGGGGTTGGCACCCGGGAGGGGCGTAGGTTAACGGTGGCACGACGTTCTTCGGGAAGGTTGATTACAGGAATCTTGGCCCTGAGCACCCTGCGCGGGAGGCCCATCGAACCAGTGGTTGCGTGGTGTGGGAGGGGAGGACGTCCGGGCATTCCAGGGGCCAGGTGGATTTGAGGGGGCATCGGAGCTCCCCTTGAAGGGACTCTTTGAAGAGCCATATGAGGGTTAGGTGAGGGTATGCGCGTAGAAGGCGATGGCAATCGAGGAGAGGGTATCCGTGACGGAGAGGGAATTCTGATGGAAGGAGAGGGTATCCGGGAAGGCATGGAGAGGCGCTTCTGTTGTAGGCTAGTCGCCATGGGTTGGCCATTCATGACCATGCCGTTCATCATCATAGGGCCACCCGAGAGAACAGAGCTACCGACATCAGAGCCGCCCGTCTCAGAACCGCTTCCTACTTCGGGGATGTTGGACGAGGCCAAGGATGAGTCCGAGTTTCGTCGAGTACGAGTCTGCGTTGGTGGTGGTAGCCGGCCACCCCTTCGAAGGATAGACTTTGGTTGACCGTTTTGAGGAGGTCCTCGTCTGCTTGTGAGTTGGAGAGGCCAATTCGAGGTTCTGTTGGTGGGAGTAGCGGTGCTGGCGGTGCTGGCAGTGCTAGTAGTGCTTCCGGTGTTGCTGCTGACATTGCTGAGTCTGTCATCCGAGACAGAGAAACCCCTCATATGCCCTGGTCCTCCACCGGGCCTAGGTCGTTGTGGGTATGGAGATCGATCTCCCATCGTGTTTATCTGTGGTGATGTTGTGATGTTGTGATATGAGGATTCGGTGTTGTGTTTGTGTTTGTTTGCCTGCGGGTGTTCTGTATGACGGCCGATGCTCGCTCGGGCGTGCAACAGAGTGCAGACGGGTGTATATGAATATGTTCCGGTTGTCAGGTTTCGAGCTCAAAGCGAGAGTGTGTGTGATGTATGACTGGGTGGGTGGGGGTGTATTAAGAGTGTTTGGTTGGTTTGGGTATCAAGAGTGGTTTGTGTCAAAGAACGAATGTGTGTTGGTAGTGATTAGGTATTATTACGAAGATAGTACTGACTGAGAAGGAGTAATTCAGGATGGGAAGGGACCTCGATGGCGGGCTTCAGCTGAACTTGTATAGTCACAAATGGGCATTGCTTGTTGTGTTTCGCCGCCTCTTCTGTCTGTCTAGCTAGTCTCTCTAGCCGCTGGGGACCTGGATGGAGACCTGAAAATCGGCCAACGGAAGGCGTGTTTTGTTATTCGGTGTGCAGAGCCAGAGTGTGGTTTCCCTGTCAATCTTGCTGCACGCAAGAGGGAGGAAAAGAGAAGTGGAAACGACGAAGCGGGCCCCGATACGTGTCCCTGGATCGGCCTGTGGTTAGGGTCGGGTGTTGGTTCTAGGCTGTTGGACTGCAGCGCAGTATATTGTCCTGGACCAGGAAGGGAGGAGGCTGTGGTAAGATTGTTATGTTGTCGAGTGTTGTTGTTGTCTTTTTTTCTGCTGCGGCTGTCAGCCTGTCGTCTGATGATGGCAATGCCCGGTGAGCGGACTGGAGATCTTTTGTTCTTCTTTCGACCCGAGGAAGGAATGGAGACAGGACAGTCGGCAGAAGTGGAAATTGCAAGTGGCCCAAAGAAGGTCCCGGATTGGATTTCTAGTTTGTGTGCGTCTAAACTTGAAGTACACTAAGGTACGAGGGAAGGTGCAGTGCTCGTGCAGTTGCAGGCTGTTGCAGGCAGTCGCAGTTGCGTCTGCAGTAGTGGGCAGTAGTGGGCAGTAGCAGACAGTAGTGGTGGTCGGTATCGAGGTCACTCGATGCTTTGTACGAGTCTGTATTGGAAGGAACGGGGATTGAAGATGATCGTCAGCCTGGGCCGAAGCACGGAAGGCGGGCAGGAGGGCAGGAGAGCATGAATGGAGGGGCACCACCAAGCAGACAGAGGACCGGGCCAGAGTGGGATGGGGACTGACAGCACTCATGAGGAGGGGGATCAGCCGAGCTGACTGAGAGAGAGCGTGCAGGAACGAGGAAATGGTGAGTGTGTGACCTTGTCGCCGATTCACTTCCTTCCCAGTCTCACGCCTATCAATGTTCCAGTCCTCCACAATGTTCCGCTCTTGCAGTTTTCGCATTGACTGCACTCTGTTACGAATTTACGATGCTTTCCTCGTTGCAGATGGAAAAGCAACGAAATCCGACGACTCGGCCTAATCCGGTTAGCCAGCGTTTCGTTCCGCTCCCGAATCGGAAAAGTGCATGTGCCATGTAACTGATGATGTTCCTTTTTTTCTTTCTCCGTTTCTGTTTCTGTCTCGGTACAACTCAGCTTTCCGCGCAACCGCGTCACCGAATTTTTTCCATCTTTCCTTTCCTCTGCTCTTTCCGTGCCAGAAATTGAATGGCTGGAATTGGGCATAAAGAGGAAAGCCACGGCGAGACACGGTGACGACGTCGAATCGGGTGCCCGTCAGCCCCCCGGGATGCCCGCTCCGCACACGACGGGGTTCTGTTTAGTTCCAGCAATTTTTAAACAATTTGTATAGTCGCCCTGATGGGCTGGAACCGGGCAGGAATCGGGCCTCTTTGTACTCTCTGTAAGTGCCCCTACGCAATAAGATACACAAGGTTAATTGCCGTGGGGAGTACAATTCGTTACCAGCAATTTCTGCCGGACTCGGTCGGATCGCAAACCCAAAACACGTTCGAGACATTTTGAATTTGCGGTGATGCGGTGATTGCTTCCAAGAAGTCCAAGACGGAGGAAGCTAGGCGGCGGCCCGGGGAAAGGCTAACAACAGGCTCCACTGCGCTAGAAACTAGCACCCCCCATGTAACCATTCTTGTCACTGCACTTCAGAGATACCACTCAAAAACCACTACAGTATTGTCTAGTATCTACAAGGAATCCGGGCAGCCATTTTTCTTGCATTTAAGGGGGATCTTGCAGAAGGGGGGGTGGGTGCACAGACCCTCTGGATGCCGCTGCCCACTGTGATCGCGAGCTGACCACCTAAAAAGTGGAGTAAGTCGCCCGGTCCAGGGGCCAGAAATGTTCTGTCCCAGTAAAAAGATACCCCTGTACTTGCAAATCCGGCTTTGAGGCCTTGCAATTTGAAGTTTGCAGGCCCAGTATGGGAAAATAATTCGGGCACGAAATTCCTTGCATTTAACGGCGTTTTTGCATAAGGGGGGGGGTTGTAGAAGCAGGGGACATTACTGTATCAACATGCAAACCTACACGCGACTTCTCCCGTTGATCCCGTGTTCTGGTTCAACGCTGATCGGATGGCGAGTTGGGGCGGGGTGTCCGTTTGGCGACAACAAGCCCGGAGGCCGGAGGGGGGTATGAGAGCGGGTCTATCAACGGGTCAACAGCAATCACAGCAATCACAGCAATCCAGACCGCAGCTTGCCACTCTGAACAGCTTGAAGGCAGACAGACAGTCGGGCAAAAGTCAGGGTCCAGGGGACAAATCCAAAAGAGATGTGCCAAAGTCCGCCTCATCCCAAAGCGAACAGCCCAACGGAAAATCTCTTCTTTCTTCAGTTGCGGCTTTCCGTGGTACATCCATGGAAGAATTCTGTAACTGGTTCTACAGCTCAAGGCGTGAGGCTTCCACCATCTGACCGGCCTGATGGCTGGTGCCCGAAGCTGGAAATCGAGTCGTTTGCCTGGCTCACTGGCTCGCCTGGTACTGGATCGTGCACACATCTTGTCCAACCGTGATGGGCCTGTGACGGCTTTTCCATGTCCAAGAAACCGGGAAGAGGGACGTCAGCGGCTCTCTACCTCTTGCAAAGCTCTCTGGGTTGTCTGGTCTGTCTGGGTCACAATGTCTCTTTCGGGATGTGTGTCTAGCCAATGGTGGACCCTCATTGGTTGGCGCTAGAGTGGTCTAAGTGGGAAGCAAGCGACGTGTTGGGCATCAGTTGGGTTTCAAGCCCCGGTCGGCCGACGTGGTCAACCTCCATTTGCATCTGATTGGAGCCCTCATCCCTTCAACCACCACAGCTCTCTGTAACCACCCCCCTCTAACAGACAACAAGACCGCCTCCTGCCGGCGCAGTCTTCCAGAGATGCCGGGTCTCTAGCCACGGCGACTGCTGTGACAAACTCTGCTCGAGGTTAATGCTCAAACCACATGGAAACGGCGGGAATGGCCTCTCGGATCACAGGAATGTCAGGGCTGCATGGCGTCCGGCCCAGTATCCCCTTTGCACAGCAGCAGAAGCAAGCCCAGAACCCTCCAAATGATCCATCACCTGCTTCAGTGTTTGAAGAAAGAGAGATCCGTTTGCACTTCATATTGAACGCGGGGGCCACACTTTTGTACATGTCAATATCACCTCACCACTTTTTTTTTCTAGTTTCTTTCACCTCCAGAGATCGTCTGGAATGATGGGGGCCAAGCAGCTATCGAATGGGGCAATCAAGCATTCCATCCCCGACTTTTCTCTTGTCGCTCCCTGCGAGACTGGGCCAGGAACAGGGACTCAGGTTGGGCTAGACATGCCCATGCCCTTGCCCCTGAAACGGTGAAACCCTGGGGTAAAGGATCCCCGCAACAAACAAGCTCGACAAGGTCACCTCAACTCCAACGACTTTCCGTTTGGCTGATCATCACCATCCCGAGACTCGGGTTTCCCGCTATGCGTCGCTGAGTCGCTGTGTCGGTCTACATCGTTTTTACCTTGGTCAAAACTTGGGCAAAAAGGTCGCACAACACGGCCTGCAGCGGCACAAGCAATCATCGTCCTCATCACTGACCCTCTGACCCAAGACCGACGGTGTTACGGTGGGGGTTGATGGGGCATGGGGCGCAGTTTGTGTCCTGATCGCTTCTTGTCACACTTGTTCGTTGAGGCCTGATTCTTACCGAATCGACGCGATGCCAAAAATCAAGGTCAGGGATAGGACAAGGACAAGGAGGATGAGAAAAAGAAAACCTCTCACAGCGTGCCGTCCCGTCTCTGGAGAAGGCAAGCGATCAGGCAAGCGAAGAGGCAAAGATGAGGCCCGGGCAAACCGGGGACTGAGGAGGAGGCTCAGGCTGTTTCAGAGTTTCAAAGTCTGGAGATCGAACACTCACAACGTTCAACTCACCCGTCTGTGTGGTGGCGTGGTAGCCAATCCGAACTCTCATCAACACCGGCGCCCGTTCGCCGTCTCTCACCACTCAAGCACCGTGGTCCGGTCCCCTTCCATCCCGGCCGGTGCCATGTGGGAAAGGGTCGTCAGAGAAGAGTCTGGAATGCCGAACGGCTGCCCAGGCAGAGTCCTAGGGCCCGAATTGCTCCATCTTGGGCGCGATCCAGGCACGTATTTCTTCAACCTCACACCGGGTTCCTGGCCTAACGTTGCCAAGATGCGACTTACAACCTGCGCTCTGCGGTACGCCACAGAGGCTTTGAAGATCCAGTCCACGACATGTTGACACGACTTCACTTGACCTTTTTTTTTCATGACGCGCTATCCACTTGAACTGTAACTCGAGGTGAGGTGTATCTGCACTGCTGCTGTCAATGAATTGGGAGAGCGAACTCCAATCACCAACCCTCATGAAATTCAGCCCGGCGAGACTTCAGCGCGAGGGGCAGTACTTATAGAAACCTGAGAATACATCGACCTTTTCGGTGTGCAGACCGCACTTCTGTAGGAATCACCTATTTAGGAAAAGGGCCCATCGTGGACGTGGCACGAACCAGTACTCCACTTATAGCCTCAAGGTAAGAGGCTCAAAACCCTCATGCCAAGACATCTCCAAAATGCGAAACAGACGCGGACAAGCGAACCAAAATACTCCGACCAGCATCTGTAGGCTCTGTAGCGCGTTTTGGAGAGTCGTGAAGTTCGCTGGATTATCAAGCTTTCCCCGTCTCCCGGTGCAGCCTGCAGAAGAGCGGTATAAGATAACAGCACTGGGCCCCACGAACCAGTCGGTAGTCGTCTTTTTGTCGGTCGACGACCACTGATACTCAACTCCACTCTCCTGCCCAGTCCACTCGTCGTGCCAATAGTCCAGTCTCCGTCCGGCTACTTCTCCCTCGAATGATGAATCGTTCTTACGAAAAGAGTGTCCACCACGTCCGACTCTAGACACTCTTGGTCCCTGAACAGGCCCTGAACATCAACGGGGTCTCAACATTCTGGAGGCGAACAGATCTGGCCAGACACCGACGGATAAAGAAACCCGCACCTCAGACGACAGTTGATCACATCATCCAATCCGTTTTCCTCAAGATCAATCAATCCATCCTACCAGACCAGATTCGTCGTAAGCCCGGATGAGTAAACAGTTTCTCCAGCCACTAACAATGTGAATAGACTCGTTTCAGGACTTCATCGAACGAATAGCAGCCAGGCAGTCTAATCCGGGACCCCCATCCGTCCATTTGATCGATCTATCCATTCGTCCATCCGTCCACTAATCCAGCATCAGGGTCAGGAAATCCATGATCCAAGAATTCGCCGCATGAACACATGTTCGGACACTTGCCTCTTTGCGTCTTACGTCTCGTCTCGTCTCGACCGCCTGCCCAGACCGGCGAGTGCACCACCACCGCACGCAGACCGGACACAACCGGTCTCCACCAATATATCCGGTTCGCGGTCAAAAGGGCTTGTCGACGTGTATCGATCTCATTGCCGGGTGGGTTTCACATCGTTCGAAATGCTACATACCTAGGCGGACTGGCAGACTGTCAGGTACGGACCAGTGAGAGGCCGGGGAGAGATCAGTGGTCTGTGGTCTGTCACCGACCACCGACTGAGTAAATCTGTCGGATTTATGTTCGTCTGATCTTGATAGGCAGGGTTTCCAGTAATTGTGGGTGGTTCAGCGTTCAGGAAATGCAGTGCTGCCGGTGCTGAATATCCGTACGTAGGTAGGTCGTCCACGGACCGGCCCTCTCAACCGGCCCTCTCAACCGGACCCCTTCGCCATCTCACAATAATTCAGCCCGGATCCAAATCATCAAATCGGAGCAAAAGGAAAGCCAAAGGTGGGTAATTTCGGATGTCGACTGTTGCCAGGACATGTCCGCCTGTACGGATGCCGATCGGGAAGAAGCCAGGCCAGACGCGAGGCCAGACTTTCCGCTTGGCCTTTGGCTTAGACATCCGCTTTGCCCTCCGCTTTTTTACAACTCTACGCCGTTGAACTATGTATGAGTTGTCCTCCGTGAAGTAGTATGTAAGTGTCGGTCCGTCGCCGTGGGGGTTCCACCAGTTCCGCGTCAGTTTGCTCCCGTGACCGGTTCGGATGAACACCGGTGGGCGATTCGCGAGAAAGGAGCCCCCGAACATGGTAGCGAAGTGGGC